TAGCAGAATTGCTAAGTAAAGCTCATCTATAATTGAAGACTTTTTTAGATTTAAAAGTTGAATTTAGGATCATTATGGGGTAATTAGAACTGGAGTTAACTTCCTTTTATAAACAACTAGAAAATTGGATAAAATATAAGAAAATAATGCCTTCAGACGTTGAACAAAAAGTAACCGAGGGGAGAAAGGACAGACACAAACTAAGCCTTACAGTTCCCATGGCTTTCTGCATTAAGGTAATTTCTGAAGCATTGACATTACAAAGCAGAGTTCCAGGATGGAGAGAACTATGCAGGAAAAAGAGCTCCAGAAATCTGCATATGAGTTTCCTCAAGTCAAGACTACTGGGCCATGCATACACAGAGTAAAATTCCACGAGGTCAGCAAAAAGTGGGATGATGTCAATAAAACTGAAGCAGAGCAGAGGAAGAATATGGAAATTTATTGGGTCAAACATTAACATCAAGAGGGCTAGAAAGAATAGAGGTTTAATGACCAGTTTGTGGTAACTAAGAGATCTAAGAATCTGTTGGTTGTTGGGCCTAATCTTAGCCTGGAAAGTGGGGTGTGGAATGAGAGTAATGAAGAAAGACTCATCACCTCCCTGTAGCTCTTCTTTGCAATTCTCCGTGAGGGCTTTCTAAGTTGTTGAAGGTATTATGCAAAACCTACTGCCAAATTTAATTCAAAGTGATAGAATTGAATTCTAAACTATTTCTAAAATGCTGGGTTAAATCAGGATAGCTAAGTTATGCTGTGGTAACAACCAATCCCAAATATCAGTGGTTAAAGACAATAAAAGTTTATTTCTCCCCCAAATTACATGTCTCATCCAGGTTTAAGGAACAAGTGCTGACTCTGCTCCATACAGTCACTCAGGGAACCAGGCTGACAGATGTTCCACTGTCTTGCAGCTATGCCATCTGGAATGCATAGCTTAGTCACCAGAGTAAGGGAAGAGAAAAAATGGAGAATTTCATGTGGGTTTTTTACTGTCTTACCCCAGAAAGGACACACACTAATTTCTACTCATTTTTCATTGGCTAGAGTTAGTATTGTGGCCTCACCTAACTGCAAGGGGGCCAGGAATAGAGGAGCAAATGAAATATTTAGAGAGACTTGCTGTGTTTACCACAGCTAGAAAGCTGGTGTTAACATTTCTCACCACTCAAATCTAACCTTCACTTACGAGTGGTGGGGGAGACAGTAAGCTCCCTGCTCCCCATTCAGAAAGAACAATGATTGCTAGGTACTGTCTCCTGGGAGTGTGACCATGCTTGGCTGCCTCATAGGAGACATTCGGTGGCTTCAGCCTACTCTGTGCAGTCAGAGCCCTGCCCTTCAGTCACTAAGGTTGTTTTATTTTTAGTTTCAGAAAAATCCCTGCTTTCTGAGGACCTTCAAATTCTATTTGTCTGTGTGTGATCCAAGAGCCACAGACAGATGAAATTATTGCAGTGGACGTACTGCTCTGATTATAGTAAGAATTTTCATATGGTTGGAAACTTCTGGTTAGTTTCCATTTTCCTTGCTACCTCAATATTTCCCTTGGAAATGTCGCACATGCAATGAAGGGCTTATACTCAAATATTGATTTTTCACTTGACTCTGAGGTAGAAGGTCCTACAAAAATTCTACCACCCCAACCAAACATGAGTTTGGAAGGGTAAGCCTTGAGAAATCAATCAACGTAATGGCTGGGAGATAGGAGGATCAGAAAATCCAAGGGGGAGCTTTAGTGGAGATTTGGGATTTGAAAGGATCATACTTGGGCCGTTTACCTTCTTTTTTGGTTTCCTTTCCTCGGTACAACACCTCTTCTGGTTGTATCCCTACTCCAAGAGGGTGTTTCCCTTCTATTGCATGGCCCTCCTAAGAAGTATCCTTTTAAAAGCCCATTTAGATGGCAATTTTTGCCTTTTTTTAGATGGCATACATTTGGGGTGAGGTGTTAGTATGCAGAGGGAGAAAGCTCAGGAAAGAATAAGCAGGTGATACCTTGAAGTAGGAGCAGAAGGGGAAAGGGTAGGAAAATGGCGCCTGTGTGCTTCTCTGAGCAGCAGGTAGTTAAGATCCACATTCTGCCCACAATTCTCTGCAGAGCTACATCCAAACCCTGGCAGCATGCACCACTGTTTTTGGAAATATGTCACAGCAATTATATCCTTATTCCTTTTGAGCTGCTTCTTCCATAAGAAAATTCAAAATGTTGAATATAAACTTCTGTTGGTGAGTACCAGAACCTGATAGTGGAACCAATTTTCAGTTATTAAGTAGGAAAATAGCTAAATAAAAGTCCACATTTAGGCCTCATCTATGTGGGACACTGTAGAATCATTGTAAATGTTTTCAGAAAAGAGAAGCAAAGACTTAGAATAATTTTTTTAACAAACATAAAAGGAAGTAAAATAATTTCGTTTCATTTTTCTTAAGAAAAGATGGGTGGGCACAGTTGCTTACGCCTATAATCCTAGCAATTTGGGAGGCTGAGGTGGGCAGATCAGGAGTTTGAGACCACCTTGGGCAACATGGGGAAACCTCGTCTCTACTAAAAATACAAAAAATTAGCCAGGCATGGTGGTGCATGCTATGGTCCCAGCTACTAGGAGGCTGAGGTGGGAGGATGGCTTTAGCCCAGGAGGTGGAGGTTGCAGTGAGCCAAGATCACGCCAGAGCACTCCATCCTGGGTAACAGAGGAAGAAGAAAAAAAAATGCAATTTACTTTCTGTAAATTGTTCAGCCATGAAGGAAATAAATGAGTAATTTGTTAAAACTATCAACGATGACGGTAGAGAAGAATAGATGAAGAAAAGGGACATTTCCAGGGGAAAACAGAGTCGTACCAGATATAAGAGACAACTGACTGTTAGATGCCTAATTTGTGGTTACTAAGAGACCCACTTGCTAGAAAGGTATGAAATAGGTGTGATAGAGACTTCCTGTAGCTTCCCCTCAAAAACTCTGCCAAGGGCTTCTGTGTTATTGAAGAAATCAGTCAAAACCAACCCTACCAGCTTGATTCACAGTTACCTTCTAAATTCCTGAATGTAAAACATCCACTTTCTACTGTCCCTTGATATATCAGTGGGATCTGACTAGGGGCAGGGAGGAAGAAACGGGACTCCAGGTGTGGAGAGGGTGGTAATCAGCCACCTCTAGAGGACCAGGCTGACTGGTAGGACCAGCAGGCAATGAAGACCTATGTGCTGGCCACCTCCCAAGCAGGACCTGGGCATGGACATGTTATTTTTCCCACTTCTCAAATGAAGGATTGGAAACAGCTTCCCCAAGTGTACAACATCTGCAAGAGAGGAGACCAAACCACACACAGTTCCTAGCCAGGCTTTGAAATCCACATTTTTCCTAAAACACCTCAGACCAGCCAAAGCTAAGCACAGGGCAGGTGTGGGGAGTGGTTCAGAATGTGTGCATGGTCAGACATGAGCAAGAGAAAGGACTCTAGAATTGAGGCACTGGGCACCAGCACTTCTCACAGAACCGAGCCCAGGCCTAAGCCGAGGTGGACCAGACCTTGGTTAGCCTGATGACGGTGGGGGCAGGCAGGTGCTTACTCCACACAAGCCTCGGCCCTTCCCACAGGCCCTCCACACAAGCCTGGGAGCCCCACTTCCCGACTCAGGATCCATGACATCTGCTGGAAAGCCCTGCGTGTTCTTATGACGAGGTGGGAAGAGTGGTTCCCTGAGCCCTGATGCTGGGCCTCCCAAGGAACAGGAAGCTGAGGCTTGCCTAGCCTGTTTTACAGGGTGATCTGATCCTAAATTGTCTTCAGAGAATCTGGGGATGAATCTCAGGACTGACATATCTTATCCTCAGAAGGAGAAGGAGGACATAGCTTGGCAGACAGTTCAGGAACAAATCAGCTCTGAAAGCAAGAACCATCTGCAGACCTTCAAGGAGATACAGAGAGACTCCCCTCTTTTCCAGCGTGCCAGCTACCAATTCCTGGCTGGAGCCCCTCCCCGGGAAAAGAGTGAGTAGCTGGGAGGGAGTGGTCAGACTGGGAGAAGGCCAGACAGGGTATTTCAGCCAGAAAAAGGAAGGAGGGTCAAAAAGGGAAGTGACTGGCACGTGGCGAGCAAAGAGGGTGCTCTGAGGCAGGGCCACGCTGTGGAATTTGGTGCACGTTATAATTCCGAGTGTGTTTTCCTCCCACCTGGTCACCCCTTGAATGACCAACAGATCAGAAGGTCCATAGTGACCCCGAGAAGGAGCTGTCTCATAGGGAAGCTCAGTCATGGCAGGCCCCCAAGGAGGGGAAGACAGGAAGGGGGAGGAGCTGGAGGGAGCCACGGGAAAAGCCATTGGGTAGAGGGCAAAGAGGGCCATGTGGACTTCTGGGCTAAGTGCACTAGACTGTTAGAGTCTTGGGTGTACCTAGATTTCCTGACATTCTCGAATTCGCAGGTTGACCTGTGTAGCTGAGATAACTCTGAAGGTCTAGGCCAGGCTAAGATACTTTGCCAAGCCAGCAAACTTCCCTTTGGTACCTGGCAGTCTTGCCCATGAGAGAGCCTTGCCCTTCACAAAGCTTCCCCAAGAGCCTTCCAAAGTATTGACCACAATACTCTGACCAAATAAAACCATATCACAATTTTTGATCAGTTATCAACAAGGGACTGTGGTCTTTAGTCTCTATGGAAACAATCGCAATTACAAAAACTGTAGAATCACTTGGCTGTGAAAAGTACAGTTAAAAACTTTGGAGACCTTGAATACCCTCATGGCAGTTTTGAAGGAGTCCCTCATCTCCTGAAGCCACAGGGCACTTATTACTGAAGACCAAATCCAAGGACTATCTGCAAGGCTTGCCAAGTTGGCAGTGCCAAGGAAATGATCAACCCTCTTTCAATCTAAGAGCACTGGTGGGGAAGGAGTGGACCCTGAGACCTAAGAGGGGAACATTCTGGCAGACATGGATAAGATTTAAACCTCCCAATTCCTCTAAGCCTCACTCTCTGGAATAAGCAATCTACCCCTATATGAGGAAACCAGTCCTCTTCTGTACATCTCATTGTCTCTAGGCCCATAAGGCCGTGTGATACAAGGCCTGCTCCGGAAGGAAATGGCCTAAACTCCAACAATCATAATCCCTTACCAAACTGTATTGGCAGAAGCCCAGACAGTATATATGGGAGTGGACTCTAGGGGAGAAGGGAAATAAGGCTCTATCCAGCTGAATTTATTGATACAGATACATTAACCTGGAATTCAAATTATATGTACTAATTTGAGCAGAAGTGAGAATTCATAACATTTTACTCAGTTCCCTGAGCCAGCTCAGACTTGGAGCCTCTTTTCTGAGACCAAGGCCAGATCTTTTTGAGGAAGGACCTACAGCTTGACTAATACAGTATACCAAGAATCTTCCCAAGCCTTCCCTCCAAAACTTGTGCAATGTACCAGGATGACTATGAACCAGAGAAAGAGAAATACTCAGACTTTTTATGAATTTTAGGATATTGGCTCCGAAGTAACATTAATTCTGAATACCCAAACTACCACCATGATCCATGGGTCAAAGAGGAGGTTTAAGAAAGCCGGGTAACAGAGTCTTTTCCCTTACCCATCTCACAGGCAATCCATCATGGACTAAAGCACATGTTTTATTGTCCCCTCCCCCGCAAAAATCCCAGATTGTACAGATGGAATAAATATACTTAGAACTGGCAGAAATAAATACCACATTGATTCCCTGACCCATGGTGGAAGGGCTGTTATAGAATAAACTCACCCTCACCAAAAGCAATACCGGGGGAAATGTAGAGATTAGAAACATCAGCAAAAGAATCAATAGGTGCAATTGTGTGATTCCCACCATAATTCCCCATTGGTGCAGATGCCAGACTGGTCCTAAATATTGATGTCAGTTGTGGCAAATGGAGTCAATTTGGAGTTGCAAATCTTTACTGGCGTAGATCAGCGCAGCCCCTGGCACCTGAATTCAGCTACGAATCTGGCAAATGCCTTCTTTTCATTCCCACCATGAGGAGAATCAAAAACAGTATGTATTTAGAAGGTAGGAAAGAGTAGAAGGCAGGCCGAGTAACACCTCGGCCCAGAGATATTTCACTTCTCCTGTTTTCTGTCATAATAGCCAGAAGGGACCCTGATTGTCCTGATATTGCACAGAATGTCACACTGACCCATTAAATTGATGGCATTATGTTCACCGGACCTGTGATCAGGAAGTAGTAGTAGTGACTACTCTAGATTCCTTGGTCAGGTATATGTACACCAAAGGTCAAGAGGCAGACTTCCTGAAAATTCAGGAGCCTAATACACCATGAGGTTTCTAGGGTTTCAGCTGTATAGGGCATATTGGGCTATTCCCTCTAAAGTTACAAATGTTTCCATGCTTTGCATCTTGTACCATTCACCATGAAGAGACACAATGCTTGGAAATTACTGGATTTCAGAGGCAACATACACAACTTCTGGGCGTGTTGCTCCAATCCATTTGCCAAGTAACAAATTAGGATGCTAGTTTTGAGGCAGGCCTGGAGCAAGAAAAATCTTTGCAGAAGGTCAAGGTTGTGGAGCAAACTGTTCTGCCACTCGGGCCTTACGATCTAGCAGAACCAGTGCAAATGTGATTGGGAGACACAAATGCTGTCAGAGATGCCCCAGAGATTTTGATTTATTTATCTAGCCTAACCTATTGTATCATTCAGAGACAAAACCAATAGGATAGATGGATAGATGATTAATTGATGATGATGATGACAGATAGATAGATAGATAGATAGATAGATAGATAGATAGATAGATAGAGTTTTATTACGGGAATTGGCTCATATAATTATGACTATGGAGGCTAAGAAGTCCCAAGACAGGCTAGCTACAACCTGGAGTATCAGAGGAGCCAGAAGCCAGTAACATGGCTCAGTGCAAGTCCAAAAACTTCAGAACCAGCCGGTCATGTTGGCTCACACCGACATGTACGCTGGAGGAAGGGGATCCCAGGGGGAATGCTCAACATCCATTTATCCCACAGTAATCTGACTCAGAAGCACCTGGTCAGTGTCTACTCTGGGAGAATAGGGTTACTGAATACAAGAAGATATTTTAGGGGAAACAGCAGTCCCAGGACAGTCAGATAATTTTATTTCATTTTTTTTTCCCAGGATTTTAGAGTTCTTTTTAAAATTGAGATATGATTCAAGCTTTATAACATTTTGTAATTCTAGCACTTTGGGAGGCCGAG